GCTATGAACATGGGCCACACAGCTAAGCAGGTGAGTTATAATAATAATCATGAATTTATGACCAGCTGACCCTTGTGCCACGCAGGTTTTCCAATGAGATGATCAAGCTCTTTCCCCTCCACCCCTCCACCCCTCCACCCTCCAAAGTCGCAAAAGTAACGTCGTTTTGTTTTCTGGCTTAGTGTCCTCCAAAGGCTGGCTGGAAATTTTGGGAGCTGAAATTCCAGCCTGTTTGGAGGGAAAAGGCGCAATAAACCAGGTAATTTTTGATCAAGCGCATAGATTATTTTTACCCTGTTTCCCTGAAAATAAGACCTCCCTGGATAATAAGCCCAATGGGGCTTTTGAGTGCATGCACTAAAATAAGCCCTCCCCAAAAATATTGCAACACAGCAGCAGCCATGAGGTGACCATGCCCACCACCTCCTGTACCTCAAAAATAATAAGACTCCCCCGAAAATAAGGCCAAGCTCTTATTTCGGGGATCTAAAGAAAATAAGACCCTGTCTTGTTTTCATGGAAACATGGTAGAATTATTTTTACCCAAATGTTTCTGGCACATGTTGTCCCAAACACTTTAAAAAATATAACATTCCTCTTATTACTGCACATCTTTCAAGCAGTTTTCTTTAAGTTTCCATTTTCTGGTGCCAAAAGTATTAAAGAGCACATTTGCTCTGGTTTGGAGCTCTTCTATGGAAATCCATGTATAAAAGCGGTCTTCCTGCTTGCAAGATAGAGGGGAGGGGAGGTTGAGCCCTGTACTCCTTTGGATCACTGTGAGTTTAACACATGGCTTGGGGGCACATTCCCATAACAGAGCAGGGGTTATGCAAAGGCATACAATAACTGCGTAGCATCTGCTATGTAGAGCTACCATTTCTCTCCCTCTGTCCAGTGTATATTGTGATAAGACGTGCTGAAATCAGAAAGTGGCGTGCTGGGCAGTTCAAACCTCTCCTCCCAGATATCCCCTGGGACTTTGCACCCTGTCCCCACCTCCTGCTTTGAGTTAGCAGCTTGCTGGGAGGGTCTACGACAACTTGCCGTGGGACAACTTCTGTACGACAAGAGTTGCACTAATATCGAAGAAATAATGGAATAGAATCATTGAGAAGGAGAGGCAAAATGAAATGTGGATGACAAAAGCTGAAATATTTTTTTAATTATGAGAAATAATGAAATTGAATTGTCCTGCATCGAGTTGTCCCAAGGTGAATTGGCTGCAGCTACTTGTCCCATTCTGGCTTGCTGGTCCCTGCTGCTTCCCACCTGTCTTCCCAGGAAGTGTTTCATCTACCTCCCCCAACCTCAAATGTGTATAAAGGATTATGGAGACGGCCTTCACAAACGTAGGCAACAGCCATTAGGAAAACATGAACCTAGCCCAGGAAGACAGGAAAAGGGGAGAAGGAAGATCCAGATTGCCTCACTTGCTATTTACTCTCTGTTAAAAGAGGGAAGCAAAGAGCCTGTCAGACACTCAGGATTCGGTTACTATAGTGCTATGATGGCAAACCTTTTCGGTACCTAGTGCCCAAACCAGAACATGTGTGCATGTGTGCGCGTACATGTGCCAGAGCCCTAAAACCCAAAGACCAGCTGGCCAGCGCGTGCATGCTTGTTTTTTCCGCATTTTGGGGTGTTTTTCATGCTGGTTTTTGGGGACATTTTAAGGATATTTTTTCAATGTTTTCAGACTCTTTTTTGGGGCCAAAAGTGCCACGGAAAATGGCCATAAAACGGGCTGAGAAATGGCCCAGAAACGGTCCCAAAACACCCTAAAACAGACCGAAAAACAGCCTGTTTTCTGAGTGTTTTGGAGGCTGTTTTCAGCCTGGTTTTGGTGCTCCGGCGCCTGCGAAGATCAGCTGGCCAGTGCACATGTGCACAATGTAAACCAGAAGAGCAGTTGGCGACACGCGCCATAGATTCGCCATCACAGCTATAGTTCATTGAAGGTTCCAGCTTTAATCCTTCTTGTGCCTGTTTCCTGATCTGTTCTACCTCAAAGGGCTGAAAAAGGCTTTCACAGTTTGGGCGGCCTTTCTGGAGAGGACAAGGACAAAAAAAATCAAAGTAATTTCAATAATGTTGCTTCTTAGCAGTGCTACTAAAAGTTTCAGACTTTCCTTCCTTCCTTAAGAGATAAACTGATCTCATCAAAGATAAATAAAAGGAAACTTCCTTTTTTTTAAAAAAGGCACAAAAATATCTTTCCCCCACAACTTTTCAATTTTAAGGTTAACACGGACAGATTCGGTGCTATAGACAAGGACTTGTAGAGTTGTTTTGATTAAGATTAGCTATTAAACAGAAAATCCAGAAG